GAGTACAGCACGAAACGCGATAAAGGATGCGAATTGCAGTAAATGTTTATATCATCACAGCTCATCTCGTCCGAATCAGCAAACTCATCTGAAAGCGCACACCTCCACTCAGCCGTACAGGACGGTACCTTGCCCACTTCAATGAGGCCGTCCGTGTTGGTCCACAGTAGCTGGTGCTGGCCTGCACCAGTGTCGTTCTCTGGACCATAATGAGCTGAGAACCCGTACTGTTTCCACTGCAAAAGGACGTGTGGGTACCTTCTATCTTCTCCAAGTGTGTCGTGTTGACCAGAGTCATCTCCAGGGCCGCAGGGTGACCATGATGAGGGTACCGACCCATCCACCGTGACAGGGCTAAGGAGCAAACAGTAATAACTTTTACATGGCCTAGGGGGCCTACCGACATCAGCGAGGATGGCCCTTCCTCCACAGCGTACCTTCATCCGACCATCCTCACTAGGGGTGTGACCTACGACCATCCGGGCCACACCGTAATGCCGCAGGACATTCAGTAACGGTGGGCACGCCTCTTCGTCCCTACCCAAGGCGTATACCTGTGAGCGGAGCGTTGCATGCAATCCATAAAGTGAGTGAGTTGACTGCAATACTCCAAACTTGCAGCATTGCGTGACTAGCACATACTTACTCGGGACCACAAAGGGCTGGACTCCGACAGTAGCAGAGGGTTCTTGAGAGCCCCATCTCTGATCATCCTAGTAGCCTGCTCATTCAACTCGTCGATCGAGCGGTCGGTCAAGGCCGGCATCACACCGCCGTGGACGAACCTGACCACGTATCAAACCCCTCCCCTTGAGAAACCAACAACAACCGTACAGGGTGTCAGCTCTGTCCAGGGGTAGGAGCTCAGGGAGTTTACCACTACTGTACTTGGACGTGAACGAGCCTGCCCATAGATTACAGTCCCACACCCCGGACCAGACCTATGACCTCCATAAACGTGAACCAACTCGTAGTGGTCTTTGAGGATGGTCCAGATCTCACCACCAGGGGACCAACTCTCCCTCCTGGCCTCCTCCCCGCCGAATTCGGCGACATCCTCATCAGTCACATACCGGCCGGCCATGCCCAGCAAATTGAGGACTTCGTGATTGCCTGGGCGAACAGTGTAGTCGAGTTTCACCCTAGTGATATGAAAAACCCTAGTGGAAAGTTTATTTCACGACTACTGCATATCACCGCGAATATCGCGTTTTTCCCCGAGTATCACGCCATTTCGTGTAAAACGAGTGAAACTCCAGTACTGGAATATATGTCCACTTTCCTCAGCTAAGCTCGGGAGTTTCCTTACTAACTATACAAGTTTACACACGAATTCGAATAGAATTGTATAGAAACCAACAGTATCCCGAAATTTCCTCAGAATTTTCATGTTGTCATCAACACATGTAGTTGCCCATGTGCATATTCTCCTACACCGCAACAGTAGCGTCCACCTCATGAAGATAAGCCCACCTACTACTACTACTACTACTACTACTACTACTACTACTACTACTACTACTACTACCCAGCACTCGGACCACCTCATTGGCCCCCTCGGCCACGTATAAGTCCTGCATGAGACGATAGCACTGCAGACCAAGCGGCCCTCGATCGACCAAGTCCCCTAGTTGGACCACCTGAGTGCCTTCCTACAGCATACCATTACCAAGGACCCCCTACCATAACAGGCTCTGCAGGGTCTGAGGCTTCTGGATGCCATTCAACTCCCTCCTGCTCGGGACCATGCTTGTGCACCAGTACCCGGCCATTCCTGAGGGACACATAGTCGACTTCCAGTGATCCCCATTGGGCCTACTCAAGGGCCTGCATCAAGTTACGTCGATCGCCATGAACGTCTGCTACGGCCACTATGCGCTTCAACGGTCGCGATGACGACGTAGCAACGGAAACGACCAACAAGGCCACTACGGCGATGCGATAGAATGTCATATAGAGAGCAGGACAGTAAAACACAACTACTGCCGCTGATACCACCACCACTAGGAATAACACAACGAGACGCTGGCAAGTGTGAAACCGAGTAGGTCACTCAGTGAGATGATATGCATGGCCACACTGGCTCCAATAGGAACCGATGTAGGGGAAGTAGTAGTAGTAACTTAGTCAACAACAGAGATTCAGTAACCTAGTCGACGGGCAACAGTAAACAGAGGACCCAATAGGGCGAGCATTCAGGGCATCCACTACAACGGCTCGGCCTCGTCCTTGATGGGCTGCGAGTCCGAATGCAGTCCGGGGCAAACGAAGAATTCCCTAACACGGACAGTGGGGGCACATAAACAACAGAGCCTACCCTGCAACCCATGCATCGTCAACATCCTTGAACCAAGGCTGACAAGGGAGTGCGGTCGGGAGGCATGAGCAGCTTACATGTGCCATGAGACCACCCACACTGGCCCTAGCCGTTGGGGTCACCCTCAGACAAGACAACGCCAGCTCGTTCAACCAGTCCGGTATCTATGGCCGATTCAACGCCTCTCTAGAGTAGTCGATTACCTCTGAGTTCCGCTGTTGCATGGTCTGAAGCCCGCGGTCCTCTTTCCACTTAGGCCACAACTCGCAATAGTCTGGACATGTCTCGACCTACCACCTCTATGTAAAGTAGTCGTAGTAGGAAAGTTACTCACAATGCCAGGCCACGTCTCGGGTGTGGGAGTGCCCAACATACGGAAGATCCGGAACAACGTCTCAACCTCCGAATCCGTCGGAAAGAGCGGACTCCCTAGTGACCATCGTGTACACCATTCTACCGCAGAGGACCAACCTCCCGTGAAGAGCTCAGCCATGACACATCCAATGGACCATACATCAATGCTGTAGGTGTACTCCAACGACCCCTAGGGGCACAGCGCTCACTATGGCTCCATCGCGGTCCGAGCCCAGTAGCTTACCATGATGACCTCTGGGGCCCGATACCACAACGTGACGATCTCGTGAGTACATCTATGCGTCGGATGCATGTAACTCCTCGCTAAACCGAAGTCGGCCAGCTTGATCCGTCCTACACAATGCGAGCCCATCACTGCTACTGATACCACTCCAACCTGAATACACTCCACCCTCTTCCGTATCACCTGTTGTCTGAGATATGAGTAGATTCTGCGGTTTTATATCCCTATGCATTATGCGCAGGTCATGACAGGCCTTCACTCCTCGCAAGATTTGGTATATGAAGTACTTCAAGCATGGTGCCGATGGGATAGCTGAGCATCCCAGCATTCCTGCCAAAGCCTCCCCCCAAGGGCAACTCACAATTCCTCTTTATAAACTGCCGTAGGTCATAAGTGAGGAGTTCGAAGACCAACGTCAAGGAGTCCCATGGGGAGCTACTGCACCGGTCAACATGAATCTGGCCAGGGCTTCGAACCACACCACCGGGCAACCCCAGGCGACCCACATGTAGTAGGGAGACTACGTTAGCCGACTTTATTTTTCGCAATAGTGCGATCTCTCGGATGGCCAAAGAAGGGCAACCTTCATCTTCCAGATTGATCCTAGCCATGATAATTTCGTGGCGCAGTGACGGTGGCCTCACTTCATGCGTTTGATGGCCACCGGTTCCCTCGTGACCTTGTCCATCCCTCTGTACACTTTCCCATACGTCCCCTCCCCAAGCTTCTCACACAGCTCGTACCTGCCCAACGGCCCTCCCCTCCAGGCCCCACCCCACCCTACCTATTCTCCAGCTCATCCCGGGCCTGCCTGCCCTGCTCCTGCCCATCTGGTCGGGGCCTCTTCAATGACCGCGAGGGCGGCGGGGGCGGGGGCTGCATCGGAGTCGGCACTCGACTCACCCTCGCTGGAGCCTCCTCGGGTGCTGGAGGTATCAGGCATCCTAACGAGAAGGTGACCAACAACCCGATGGTACACCCCATGCCATACCGTTGTCAGAAGAGAGAGCGGCCACAGGAGGAGGCAAGGGCATCCGAGGACAACGTCGTGCTGCTCAGAACTCTGCTCCCAAACCGGCGCCCTAGCGCAAGGTCTTGCATAAAGGAAACTCAATTTCAACAGTGCCTCGTGATAGCATCGACCAGGGCTGGAAACGGCGGTGTGAAAAAATGGTCCTCGCCTGGTATCTCTACATATCTACGAACGCCCCCTAGACCCAGTGTGAACAAATATGCACATGCCCAACTATATGTACCGGTGATAATATGGAAATTTCGAGGAAATTTAGGAAAATTCTCATTGGTTTCTATTGATTTCGGTTTCGAATTCGTACATAGACTCCTATAATTAGCGAGGAAACTGCTGAGCTCAGCTGAGGGAAGCGTATATATTCCAACACTGCTCATAACCATTAACAAAGACCACTCCTACTCCACTTTAGGCCGCAGCTTGCCAGCTACACGCCTCTGTACGTCTATGGGGACAAGCGTATCCTCAGTACCACCAATTTGGACCTCGAATTACATACCACTCCATCGCCAAATACCACATCTCAAGGAGCTCACAATGAAGCCACAGTTATGCTGTATCGCCGACCAATCGAAAGGACCATCAAAGTACCCACTAGCCGCCTCCATGTCATCTCCCAAAGGGTCATCGTAGACAGCAATCAATACCACACCCTGCTAACATCGTGCTTCGCTCCGCTCAAAAAAGAGGCCCCCTACTCGCAGCTTCTGCTCCTCTGCTATACGCAATGCCGCAACTGCTCCCGAAGAATGCCCAACCAATACCACACCCTCGTCACATTTCAACGTGTCTCGTATATACCTACCATCCTCTCTCCTCAAAACATATCAAGACAGTCTCATACGGTAGCCAAATGGACCTCCGGGCCCTCACAGGATCGGGCATGCCTCCCTCCGGAAGCCGCACCTCGTACCTTAGGCCGCCACTACACCCATACAGGTGGACCATCGACGACCCCACCTACCCCTTGTCCAGCATTTGCCTCTCGAACCATCCATAAAAGTTGGCCGGCCGAATGTCTCCACCCCCACCGTTCCCCGGGACCAATACTATTCTAGGCCGGTTCGCGCAAGCTGGCGACATGATAAAAATCCTACTCCAAGAAAACAAGTCCAACCAGTGAATTCGCACCAAACAACCGCTGGACTTGTTGAAACCATCTCTATGAACTAACAACTAACATCATGGCATCACCCTAGCCCTAGCCTCGTTGATAAGGCGATTTAGTTCCGTCGCCGCTGCCCTCGGATCCGCAGCCCTAGAGATACCCCGACTAACAGGGAAGAGGATGCCCATCCCCGTGCGTAGGTCCAGACCAGCCTCTACTGCTGCTTCCAAGTCGCCGCCCTAAAACCGACGAAACCCCTCATAAAATGAAGTGGGATTGCCTCCTTACCTGCGCCCCGATTCCAGGAGCCAGAATCCAAACCCCAGAGGGCAGAGCCTGCCTGAGCCTCCTCATAGCATCGATATCAGTGGCCCCAACGACCAGACCAACACTATCCGGACCACGTTCCGTTGCCTCCAGGGCTACCTGGGCCACGTGGAGGTACACAGGACGACCGTCACCTACCAACTGCACCTTCTAATCCTCGCTGAATATTCCCTCATGAACAATCAATCACTATAAAGATTAGTTCGACACTCATATCTCCACTGCGGCTTGTCCAAGCCCAACCCAGCTCACCTAGAGTGCATGTCTGTATATCATCACTCCCCTTATTGCTAGTCTTGCAGAGAGCCCATACACCCTTAGTCTGGTCAGCAGCCAGGAAGGGTTGCATGCTGTCCTTCCCCATGTACCTCACATCCAACTCTAACAAGTAACAACCACCTCTGTCCCTACGGATTCACTGTGATACTGTCAGCGCCCAACACTTCATAGGCGCTCTTAGCATAGGCCTCAGCTGTACTCCCAATGTCGCCACGTTTGGCATCAAGGATCTGCCATACCGCATCACGGCCAAATCGTGGACACTGCCCTACCACTAACGCTGTCTTCTTAGTACTGGTCTTAATGTGGGCTATGAGGCGCTCTAACTGTTGCCACCCAGCGGCGCCAAACTGCTCAAAGAAAGCAGCATTGGGCTTGTAGGCCACTGAAAAAAGATATCCTAGGTTCCTTTAGAAGAAGATTCAAAACAGGCCCACATCACACCTCTGCCTACCCGCAACATCCTTCGTGAGCTCCACCAGATTTTCACAAAACTTATAAGCCGCCTCTGCAGTGGGCTCGGGCAACTCCGAAATGTGCGGGTCCAAACCCACGCACAGCAGAGAATTCTTAGCTTTGCATCTTTCAGCGAGCCGTTCAAAAAACGACGAAGTCATTTCCATTCGAAAAAAACTGTTTTACGAGAGGCCCCTTCAGGCTCAATAATAACACAACAACAGACTCAGCGGTTAACCTACTCGATGATCGCGAAACTGTCCAACGCCGAGCACTCCTCCTAATAGGTCACTCCAAAACGGAAAGAATTCTTGTCGTTGCAGTACTTCTTTTTCCGACCCAAGCGGTTCGTTGTGGCAGTCGCGGGGTTCACTGAGCAACACCAAATTCGCCTCGCAGGAAGGGCATTGGAATCCTACATGGGTTGAAGGGATACTCCTGCTTGCCCCTGCCTATCTCCCTGAACATGCCCTTGATACCATCAGTGAACCCCTCTGTGATGAGACAAGGCGTCTGAAAGGGTAAAGCAATGTGACGAGACACTCCCAGATGTCAGTGTCACCTGATACAAGTCCAGCCAAACTATGGCCCAGGCATGAGCAACACGGACGGGGAGGGCGGACATAGCGCTACTATTGAAGCCGCAATTACAACAACAAAAACTGACCGGATGCTGCCATCGAATAGCATATCTTCACTATCGTTACGAGGTGAGCCGTGATAGGCTACTATGAGGAATTCCCTCACCCTCCAAATTGTGATGATTTGTAGTGGCCCATGACCTCAATGTAAAAAGCGCGCGCCCTCAACCATTCGATGATACTCACATTGCCGGGTTGATAGGGGTCCGCCGTCTGTCCGTTATGTGAAACAGGGAAGGACGAGGACGTCACGCACTTCCTATACTGATAACCTCAATGGCTCACACAGAGAGCGCCTCAAGAGGCAGCGTTTCCCCTCAGGGCTCAACTGTGGTCGGTGACACACGGGGATGCTCTCGTCAAGACAAGTCCCTTCAAGGAACTCCCTTCCTCTCCGCCTCTTTGAAGGTCGACTCTCAAACAGGTTGTACGAGTTGGGCATTCGAAGGGCGTGGGAAATGAGAGCCCACACATGATAATGTAGGGTCATGACCCGTAACGGTGCCGAGGAGACTTGACGAACAATCATGCACGTGTAACTCCCAGCAGCACGACGTTACACTCGTGGAGAACACAATACCCTCAGGGAGTCCCTCGACATGGGACTCGACACATAGCCGTCCCAGTACGCTTTACACTGCAATATGCTCAACACAAGACCATAGTATAATAGACGCTTGCAATGTGATTAATGATTTCTATCTAGTTTTTCTTCGTAAAGAAACTAGTCAGCTTCGTTTGGTGGCTGTGAGACGCCGCATTACCACCGCCGCCACGCTTAGTGCCACGGGACAGTCCCGACGCTCCCTGAAAAGAAGTAGACCCCAGCAGAGCTCAATGATAAACTCACAGATTTGGCCTTGGGTTTGGCAGCTACTGGCGCTGCCCTCTTCACAGTTTCTGTGATCTCCTTGAAACCCACCACGTCCTGAACCTCCATATACCCCCCTTCTCCCAGTGAGAAATTCGTCTCGGTGGTCTTCCTAGGGACAAAGAGAACAGCCCTCCAAGTTCCATTCGGAAAAAAAGTAATCCTCACTTGCGTCGTTTCACTTCGATAGTATCACCACCGTTATGCTCAAGACTGGAATTTTCTGAAACAGGAACAGCTCCATGACAGTCTCAGCTGCCCAATCCGTATTGACGTAGACAGTCCAACAGTAATTACACCGAATATAGTGACAAGTCCCAGCTTACCATCACCAGGTCGCTCCCCTGTCTCCTTCTCCTCATCGTCATCTCCCCCGAAGAGACCTGATACGGCCGTACCAACAGGCTTACTCTCCAACCGCCACCTACCAGCTGAGACCGAGGGGGCCTTGGGCTCCTCCTTTTTCTTCTCAGGGGTCGCCTCTCGCTGTCGCTTCGCCATAGTATCACCCCTACGTTTCCTCTTGGGCATCACCATAATGTCATCCTCATCCTCCTCCTCCTCATCTGTCTCCATCGGCGACCTGACAGGTACCGAATCACCAACGAGCAAGACACACACTGACCAACCTCGACGGTGACACTTTCTTTGGTGTCGTCGCCGTCAACTTAGTCTTCGGATTCGCTTTCCCCCGAGCCGTCTTAGAGGCCTTTGCCCTAGCAGGACTCTTGGGTTTCTCTTTCGAGACCAACTTCTCGTCTCGGGCGTCTTTCCTGAACCACATACACCAAATCACTAAGGAGTTACCATTGGAGTGGTACTCCTTCGCCGCCTTTTTCTGAGCAGCCTTAGCAAACATAGCCGCTAAAGGATTGGCCTTCTCCTGAGCCTTAGTGATCTCTATCTGGGTCGCACTAAGCGGGACCTCATGTACCTACCATCGTGTCACCATACATATCAACTCCCGTTAAGGAGCCGGTGCGGGAATATACGCACATAGTCAACTGCATGTGGGGGTAACAACACGGGAATTCTGATGAAATTTCAGGAAATTATCGTTTTCGTATATTTCTACCAAAAATCGTGTGCGAATTTTCATAATGAACCAAACATATATTTCCACACTGCTATCGACCTCCACGTAGGAAAAGGGAGGAACTTCAGCACGCCGTGTACTTTCGGCGCTATCTGTTTCACATCCGTGACTATCTCCCTGCACTTATCGCTGGTCGTAGCATGCAACACTGTTGGTGCCAACGCGTGGGGGCTGAGGGCACGCCTGAGCCGACCAACTGTTAGCCTCCTTCCTTACCTGTAATGCGACTCCTTTCCCACTGCTCGGAGCCTATACACGTACCGCGTCAAAATCTACAGAGGTAGAAGGTACTCTAGGGAATTCGAGATCAGCTCACTCGGTCGAACTTCAACGAGGCCTGGTCCAGTCCTTCCTTCCCAGTTACGATGACCATGTCAGTGTTACCCATCCCGATGGTGCCCAGAATACAAAAGTCCACCTACGGTGGGGAAAAATACCCGCCCCAGGAATCGAACCTGAGCGGCTCACCTCAACATCACGGCTATGCTTGTTAGCATAGGCAAAGAGGCACTTCCGGGCAGTGTCCAAGCTCATGCCTGGCAACTCAGTGGTGATGTCACCAACCTGCACTGAGTACCCATCTTGGAGGGCGGATGATATCACTGTGAAGGTGTCCTTCAGGGCAGTAGACATCTCAATAAACTACGCGGGGCATTTTCCTTACCACTCCTCGAGTTCATCATCACACAACACATACTGTTGCGAATACCGTGACGGAGTGTACTCATGTAAATCCACTACGGCCCATCACAAAGGTCCCTGCATGTACTTCCATATTCGAGCCAGCTAGGTTCTAGCCCTAAGTTGTTAATACCCAAGTGCAAATTGCTAGCGGATTCCGCGGCACATGCGATATTGCGAACGCAGACACGAACGCCTCAATGCATTGTAGCGTACATAAGAGTCCTGCCAGACCTCCACTGGCTTCCACGGCACAGACCTAACGTACCCCCCGACAAACTTCACCCACGAAGCCAGAAAACACGTGGTCGTCGATCGGTAGCAACCTAGGAGCCCCCATAGCGCCCCTCACTCCCGTTCATGGACCCCTCCCCCTCCTAACGAGCAGCCGATGACTTTTCTGTCCAAGACCACCACCTTACCCGTTGTAGCCTCTCACAATCCGTGATAGAACTAATTACATAACCAATAGTTCACTCGACGGAGCGGAGTTGATGATGCTCGTGTTTGCTACCACCAATAGGACAACACCTATAAGCATCTCAATCCTTTTTTCGTATTCTAACTAGTGTCGTTAATAGAGGCCCGTACGATTCCAAAACGATCAGCTACTCCAGTAAAATCTCGGGTAATTCACTCGAAAAAAAGTTCCGAAAAGGGTGGGAAAATTACCAAACCGTCGGGCAAAAACCTGTTTGGAATGCTATAAATTAGTGGTAGTGATTCCTGCTAAGGAATCGACGAGAGTGAAATCCTGGACGACAGAGGAACACAACGTGCACAATGAAGCACGCAGTAGAAACCAAAGTGCTTCAATAGACGCTAGACTGATCACATGAGACTAAGATGAGTGAATTGATATAAATCCTGTGGGGGATCATCAGGTCGTGCTTTCTTCCTGCGATGGACGGTCTTGGACATCCGCCGCGGAGAAAGTTATGACCTTAGTGAGGAAGAGCTCGTGCGAGTTCTAGTGCGTACACTGTCACTTTAACTGTCAACCCCATTCTCACTTACTCCATAACTGTTTCTACTGGCTCTATTGGACCTACACCTACTTTTACTACTAGCCCCGTTCTCTCTGACGACATTAACTAGTACCATAACAATAGATAAGGTGTTAGATGAGCTATCGCTTAACTGCTCTTCCTCGGCTACTCAAGACGAATCATATGATGATGCCCCCACAGTTGTAACCACCAGGGTGTGGTGATGTTGATGATAATGATCATGATGATGACTGCTAAAGTCGATAATAATAACGGCATTGCTGACGATAGCGATGTTCATGATCATGATGATGATGCCAAAGCCGATAATAATAACGGCATTGATAATGATAGCGATGTTCATGATCATGATGATGACTGCTCAAGCCGATAATAATAACGGCATTGATGATGATAGCGATGTAACATCGCCGATGTTCATGATTATGATCAGGATGCCAAAGCTGATAATAATGACGGCATTGATGATGATAGTGGTATTTATGATCATAGCGATGATGATGATGATGATGATGATGATAATGATGATGATGGTGATGACGATGCAGCATCGTCGATGCTAGAGTCGATAATAATAACGGCATCGATGATGATAGTAACTAGGCCTTCGTGACGAAGGGCGGAGCTCACTTAGTCCACGTCTATCGATTCGATCAATGAATTTGACATAGGTCGCCGGTTCGATCCCTGGGTAGGACATTCCTCCGTCTTTAAAATTTTCCTGCATATCTCTTCGAGCTGTTCGAGTTTTCCCATTTTTCCCAAAAACCCTCTGCATATAGAGAAGTCGTTCGATCTATCTGATAGCCACCCACGCTTCGTAGTTAAGCCGGAATAATTCTGCACGCACGCACAACGCGAAAGTGCCTGTTGTTGCGGTATATGCTCCGCTCGCTTCGCTCGTTCCGCAATGTTTAGGATCATAACGATGATGATGATGCTAAAGCCGATAATAATGACGGCATTGATGATGATAGTGAAGATCTCGATGATAATACTCTGTGCTCACGTGGTGACGTAACGTCACGATTATAAACGTCACTGACGTTTATAATCGTGAAGTTTCTAGCGATGACTATGACGATTCCAACAAATTATTGGCAACAATAACGATGACGATGCACTCAACGATGATGATGTCGATAATGATGATTAATAGGAGGACAGAGATCCTCGTGATGATAGTTGATATGAGCATTGTCGATGTTTAGCTCAGCGATAGGGTTTTTCTGCCGGGGGATGACGACTCACAATGGGGAGATAGGTGACGACAACACTACCCTGCTGATGTTGATAATAACTCGTCGACAGCACAGCATGAAGTACATGCGCTTACCACTAACAT